AAAGCAATGCTAATAAAATTTTTTAAATGAAAATTTTAAACAAGAATAAAAAAGAACCTGGGCCTAATTCCCAGTACTGTCAAAAAAAGAAAAAATGAGGTCAGAAAGTCTCCCCATGGGGGAGGAACAGAAGCAGCTCGAGTAGGTTTTTGGAGAATGTTTCAGCTGTCTATTGCCACATAACAAATTTTCCTAAAACCCTGCAGCTAAAACAAGAGCACGCCCTATCCCACAGTCCTATGAGTGAGGAATCTGGACACATCTCAGAAAAGCCCTCTGCTTTAGTCTGTCATGGGCTGTAATCCAGGTGCTAGCCAAGAACAGTTATCTCAAGGCATACCCAGAGAAGGAAGGACCAGCTTCCAAGCTCCCTCACATGACTGGGAACTGTTTCTTGCAAGACACCAGATTTGGGTTTATCAGTTCTTTGCTATGTGGGCCTCTCTAATATGGCAGCTTGGTTTATCAAAGTCCAAGAAGAGAGATAGAAAGACAGCAATCACAGTCTTTTCTAATCTAATCTCAGAAGTGACATACAAGCTAGGTGTGGTAGTGCACGCCTGAAATTCCAGCTACTTGGAAGCTGAGGTAGGGGGATTACAAATTCAAGGCCAGCCTAGGCAATTTAGCAAGACCCTGGACTTCGGGTGTAGCTCAGTAATAGAGAGCTCAACTGATGTGCTCAAGGCCCTGGCTCTATTCCCAGTACCACAAGGGGGGAAAAAGTGACACGGACCAGCAAGACAGTTCAGCGAATAAAGTGCTTGCCTTGAAAGCTTGATGACCAGAGTTTAATCCCCAGGACCCATGTAACAGTGGAAGGATTGAACCGATTCTACAAAATTGCCCTCTGACCTCCACATGCACACCATTGACATGTGTACCCACACTCACACATCATATACACATACGATATTAATAAATAAAAAAATTGCAAGTTATATCTTTGGATTTTGTCATATTCTGTTACTTATAAATAAGTCACTGGATTCAGCCTACTCCCAGGAAGAGGAGGAGCTGGATATCAGAAGGTAACAATCTTGGGAACCAGACGCTGCCTCAGAGTCCATCACAAGAACTTAGTTTTGATTCTAACTGACATGGGAAAGTTAGTACTAGGGTTTGAACAAAGATCTAGCAATTTTCTGACTTCGACTGTTAAAGTGTCATTCTGGCTAATGTGTCGAGAATAGATAGTGGGACATGGGCAAGGTAGAAATACAGAAGCCAGTGGGAGGCTAAGCAGACTTCCTAGCAGGAGACTGGCACTAACAATGGAGTTAATGAGGAGTGGATAGATTTGGAGTCTGTCTTGTAAGAGTTCCCCATGGACTGGATGTGGGTGTGAGATAAAGAGAAACATCAGCGGGGCATAGTGATGCATGCCTTTAATCCCAGTACTTGGGAGGCAGAGGCAAGCAAATCTCTCTGAGTTCAAGGCCAGCCTGGAGTACATAAAGAGTTCCAGGCCAGCTGGGAGACACTGTCTCAAAAAGACCAAAAAAAAAAAAAATCATCAATGGCAGGCTCTGAAGATGGAGTCCCAACTTCTTGGGAAGCTAAGGTGTGATTATTTCTTGACCACACTTCAAGATCAAGTTCAAGATCAGCTTAGGTGACTGACATAGTGAGACTACATCTCTCAGAAAAGAGCGAGAAAAGCATTGAAGTTCATTTGAAGAACATTGGATCTGAGCAGGTGTGGAGGATGGAGCATCAGTAGCTCCTGCCTAACTCTGTATTCCCAAGCTCCTCCAACAGGAAGTAAAAATGGCACTTGTCCAATGACTGCAGATCAAGTTCCAGATTTGGTGTCATTGGCTTGGTAATGCTGCTGAGATTCGGGGATGTGATGGCCTGCCTGACTAGATGCCATATGCAACCTGAGGCCAGGAAAGGTGTCAATTTCTCCTGAATCATAGGCCATGGTAGGAAAAAAAAAAAAAAAAGATTCCTCAAGGAAAATCTTGGTGCCATTTTTGAGAAGAAAGCAGGGCCAAACCACAAATGACCACTACGATCTCAAATCACCTGCTATAGTTTGCATTTTGAATAGCTCCCGGGCCATGTGTTAAAGGCTTAGTCCCCAGCATATCACTTGTGAGAGGTGATGGAGTTTTTAGAGGGTAGAGCCTTGTGGGAAGAAGTCAAGCTATCAGAGTTGTGCCCTTGAAGGGGATATTGGAACCATCTTATTACTTTTCCTCTCATTTTCACCCCAGGAGGTGTTGGTTTTGTTCTAGCACATGTTCCCACCATGATATACTGTTTCACCAGAGGTCCAAAGATAATGGAACCAGCTGACCATGAACTGAAACTTCCAAACCCGCTCTTATGTTTGGATCTGAAACATTCCCCCTAAGTTCATGTATTAACAACTTGGTCCCCAGTGCAATGGTGTTCAAAGGTGAGTCCTTTGGGAGGTAATTGTATCATAAGAGTTGCAGCCTCATCAGTGGGTTAATCTATTGATAGGTGGGTACCACCATTTAATGGGCTATTAGAAGACAGTGGAAACTTCAGGAGGTGGGCCCAGTTGGAGGAAGTCATTGGCCTCTTCCTTTTGCTCTCTTATTCAGTGTATGTGTGAGGGTTTCACAATGCAGCCCATGATGGCCTCAAACTCAAGATCCTACCTCGGTTTCCCAAGTGCCAGGATTCAACACATTCTTGGCTCTCTTTTGCTCTCTCTCTCTCTTCCTCTCTCATATTTATTTTTATTTTTATTGTATGTGTATGCATGTATTGCCTGCATCTATGTAAGTGCACCCGTGTTGTGCAATGCCCATGGGGGACAGAGGAGTACATGGGACCCTCTGGACTGGAGTTATGGATAGTTATTAGCCTCCATATGGAATCTGGGATTCAAACCTGGGTCTTCTGCAAGAGCAGCCAATGCTCTTAACTGCTGAGCCATCTCCCCTGCCTTTGTATTCCCCCTGCCAAGCTGTTTTCTTGGGTATTCTATCACAGTGAAGAAAAGCTAACTACAGTCATCTTCGGCCTTTTAATAGCGACTCACTCACCTTTACTCATATATCTAACCTAACAGTCTCATGACTAATAGATAAACTTGTCAGAAGGTACCGCTAAGCTTAGCAGATCTAGTCCGCACCTACTGCTAAAGCTGAGATGGGTTATAACATCTGAAACAGAGATTCCCCCTCTTTGCTGTAGCCTACCTATTGATCGATGGTCTTCTTTCATTGTTTTAGTATAAAAATTCATCTAATTTCTTCCACAACAGAATATGTGATTCCAGGTAACATGAATTCATATTCCCAGGCAAATGGGCACTCATATTTGGTCTAAGAGAAACGATTTTCCTGTTTCCTTTAAAGCAGAGTCATTATGTTGACACACAGCATCTGTAAGTTTTAATGCAGTCTGTTATGCTGCTTCATTTAGTTTTTTTAATGAGTTGTTTATTTATATATTTATTTTTGGTCTTTTTGTGAGGCCAGCACCATGTAGGTGCTGGGAACCAAACCTGGGTCCTCTGGAAGAGGTTTATCTCCTTTGTGGATATGGTTCCCCTTCCAGGTGGCTCGGAGCTCTTAATCTCTGAGCCATCTCTCTAGCCCATTACACCACCCTCTTTAAACTCCAGCAATGGGGTGTTATTAAAAAAAATACCTACTTGGAAAACTCCAAGGAGTTACATTCACCTCATGTATCAGAATTCTTTGGCACCCTGGTCAATGATGCTCAAATGATGGCTCGGAGCTCTTAATCTCTGAGCCATCTCTCTAGCCCATTACACCACCCCCTTTAAACTCCAGCAATGGGGTGTTATTTAAAAAAAAATACCTACTTGGAAAACTCCAAGGAGTTACATTCATCTCATGTATCAGAATTCTTTGGCACCCTGGTCAATGATGCTCAAATGGGCTACACTCAGAAAAGGAAGGGCATTTGGCTGCTAAGAGCAAGGATAGTCGCAGCTTAGGTGTGTAATATTCTGGAGAAAGTGGCAAGCCTTTCAGGGCTCAGTCCTGAAGCAAGAGACCTAAAAGGGCCAGAAAAGGAAGCATGAAGATGTAGCTAACCACTTCCCTTTGGCTCACTCTGTTCCTAACAGGCTGTTTTTTTCCTGTTCCTTATTGGTGTCTTGAGTCTCTAGTCTCAGGACCTTTACCTTGGTTATCTCCTTTGTGGATATGGTTCCCCTTCCAGGTGGCTCGGAGCTCTTAATCTCTGAGCCAT